TCCCCACCCCCGGCTACGGTCAAGGCAACTGTCATTATTGTGTTGTCTGCATATCTACTCCTTCTCCTGGCTTTCTCATTTGGCAACAATCCTCTCCTACCCACTGAGGTGGACCACTTCGAAACCCGGCAACACTACCCTAACACCCATGACCCAGGGTATGATGCACTCCTAACCTGCACCCACACCCTACAAGGACGCTCACCACCCCTCCATGATAATGCCTTCACAGAGTGCTGCTCCCCCAGAGTGAACCAGCCCTCCATGCCCCCTTGCCGAGTGTGCACACAAGAGATGACGGCTAACTGGTATTGATCTTGCACACAAAAGGACGAGGGCCGACAAGAATTGAGCGTGCCCTCAAGAGGATGAGGGCTGAGAAGAATCTATCGAGCGTGCACACAAGAGGATAAGGGGCGAGTGGGAATTGAACGCACGACCTCCTGGCTGCACTGACCGCCCGTAGGACGAGCCTCTCTGCTGCCCCGTGTTCACCAGAGAGTGGTGCAGAAAGGCTGACACGTCCACTGGTGGTTTAAATCACAACTACTAGACGGAAGGAAGCGTGAGTGTGTCTCATGATGTATACAATTTTGACTTGCCGGGGGAATAGGAGCCGGACTGACGCTCCCCAGAATGGACATGGAGCCAGGGCCATAAGGACCTGTTTAAAAAAAAAAAAAAAAGAAAAAGAAAAAAAAAAAAAAAAGAAGGAAAATCAGCCCAACCTCTGCAGACGGAAAAGAATACCTGCGTCCATTGGATCTTCAGTCCTAAGGGCCAGTCGAGAGAAAGTGTGTGCCTCCAGGTGACCAGGGAGGTTGTTAAAGGTCAAACCACCAGTACGTTTCCCAGCCAAACATAAAATATGCGGCTTGCATGCAACCGCAACTTTCAGGGCTCAGCCCCCGCAGCAAAACGGCTGGTGGTGCCAGCCAAAAGGAGGCCCGAAGCAATTTATTTGTTTTTGGCATGCAGGGCATTTACAGCCCCGGGGAAAAGCGCCTCGTGCGACGAATGAGCCCTCACATTGGCCATAAGAGCAAGGCACCCGACGACCAAAGGGCCGCCCTGCATGCCTCATGCCCGCCCTAGGTAAAGGCGAGCCTGCACTTTGAAACGAGGCCGATTTTTGTCATTTCTGCATTGTGGGGCGCCAGACAGTTTCCACGCGCCATTTGGTTACAGTGCCTCGCCAGTGTGAGCACAACGTGTTGAGCCCCTGGGCTCACCCAGTAAGTGAGGTGGCCAGAGGCTCTCGGCCAATGGAAAGCCAGGGAGCGACGTGGCCAGAGGCCTCTCAGCCAATGGCATTGCAGCGTGCGACGCTGGCCATGTCGCACAGTTGGGCAGCTTAACTGCTGCGGGCCCAGGCCAGTGTCTGAATGGGCTTGGGCGCAGACACTTTGGCCCAACATGAAGCTACTGGGCGCATGCAGGCCAGGCCCAGGGCCGCCGAAGGCAGGCTCACTTTCCATATAGGAAAGTGAGCACTGACGCCGGAGCAAATTCTGGCTTTGCATTGCTGGGCAGCCACGCTGCTGCGTTGTGAGCAGACAGGCTTCCTGGGCGCTAGCAAGCCAGAGGCACGCAAGGGCACTAGAGGGAAGATGGCCACTGCGGTGGCAGCAGGCGCGCAGCAGCCATGGCCGGGCTGCTGGGGGCGCATGCTGGTGTTGGCGACGGTAGAGGGCGCATGCTGTAGGGAGACAGGGTTAAGAAGGGGAGGAGAGGCACGTACCTGGTGTATGCTGGCCGTCCGTCACGTACATTAGTCTTCAGCTCGAAGTGATTCCTGTTGCATATACGTAGTGTAGGCTAGTATAGTTGCTGAGTGGGATATTCTGGACGCTGAGCGCCAAACAAGAAGAGTGACATTGGATACTATGTTGGTGTGGCAAGAGAGTGTCGACATTGACATTTGAGTTCATTGCATGGCTATGATCCGGACATCCGGACCGCCGTCCGGACGGTCTAAATTCAGTCCGGAGTCCAGACGTCCAGTATGGAAGGTCCGGATCTGCCAAAAAAAAACAAAAAAAACAAAAAAACAAAAAAAAAAAGGGTCCAGGACCCTTCCCCACTGAGGAGTAAGGCCCAAAAATTGTTTTTGGGGATTTTTCAGGCCCGTTTTTTTTTTTTTTCGGGGGGTCCGGACATGGTCTATCTCTATAATAATTTATTACTGATACCCAAGTAATGAATTAATAATTCATTACTTTTTAACATAGCTACACCGGACCGGACTCCAGACTGAATCCGGACCCCGGACTTCAGACTTCTCGGCCCCACCCGGACTTCCGGAAAACCGGAATATTCCGGAATATCCGAACCGGTCCGAAAAGTAGTGGTGTGTCGATTCTAGAGGGTTCATGAGCTGGCTTAACCATATACAGTCTACACTGACTCTACAGCATTCCTTAAACCACCAGTACCTCGCCCTGCTTGAAAAACAGAGTCGCAGCCGTTCACACGCCACGACTTAAGGGGTCGTCTGTCCAATAACCGGTACCAGAAGGAAATAATGAAGAATAAACAAAAACAACAAATATAAAAAAGAAAATCCAGATATACCTATTCAAAAAACAAAAATATGCAATCAGACTCGTCTTATTCACACTTTTCATGCACGTGAACAGCAGCACAGCAAACTGGCGACATGCGCCCACACAGTACTCAGAGATATGGCTTCCAGGTATGAGTTCACTCCCACTGGCTATGGCGACTCATCGCCCAACAACCCACTGTTCACACACACCGTACCACCCTGGATATCCCACACGCGACACTCCAAACACTCACGCATCACACACACACTACACCCTGAGCTATAGCTATGGCAGCGCTGGCTGCCTCTACCCTATCGCTATGGCTACTTCGTCACTCTCGCCCACTTCTACTTCAGGCCTGCTGCAGACCTCCTCGCACAAGACGCTGGGGCAGCGCTTCCGGATGGCTTCCGCAGGAATGAATGAATGGCTGTGTGCGGCCTCTCGATTTATACTTCTGTGACTCGTTGGTCTGCCCTGTTTCCGTGGCCCACGGTGCACACAGTCCCAGACAGTACTTGCTTGACTGGACCGGACTAACTGGACTGGGACTGCTGACTCTGCGTGGTGGACTTCCACCACTTGCCCACTTGCCTCTGCCTAAACTGGGGCTGACTCCGAAAGGCCACTTCTAGAACCATCTACGTGGCCTTTCGGTACTGTAGCAGGTACGACTCTGCCCTCTCAGGTAAGTAGCAGCTACGACTTTGACCTTTCGGAAAGTCTACAGCTACGACCTTTGGACTGTCTAGACTCCTACCCGAGAGGTCTACAGTTCGAATCCCCTATACCCTCTAACCTACGAGGTCCTACTTACCACTGGCGATCCTACAGGTCGCAGGTTCAACTCTACGGGTTGACACCGGTACTGTACACAGGTAAGGTGGGGACCTAGGGATCGAGCCCTGGGATCTGCATCAGCTACTGCGAACTGGTGAATACCGTTTCACTCCCGCCGGCCTAAATTCGAGGTCCTCCGAGAAAATTTTAGTCCAAGGCAGGACCTTTGCCTTTTCTATCTCTTTCGTAGGCCTTGAGTATATCGGGAGCTGTCTCTAGAAGTTCAGTTCGGGTGTACCATCGGTCGTCTTCTGGTTCCTGATATGCAAATCGGACCTTGTATTGTTTCTGAGGACGACCTCTACCTCCTGTTCTAAACACATCTTCACCTACAATGTCGTCAATGTCATGCCTCCCATCCATGTCTGGTGGGATCATGGATCGTCTAGACGGGAACTGATCACTCACTGTGCATGGCAACAACTTTGACGCATGGAAAACTGGGTAGGTGTGGAGGTGTAATGGGATCTCTATTGAATATGACGGACCATCCTCTCCGCCCTTGACTTCTAGGACTGGCCACGGTCCACTCTACGCGGGCAGTAACTTTTGCGAGATGTTCTCCTCAGGAGCAAACTCTTTAGCGCTGACCCAAACTAAGTCGCCTACTTGGAACTGTGAGGGGCAACGATGTTTGTTAGCTTGCTCTATCATCTTGTGTTGGGCCTTCCTGAGGTTGTCTACAACCGTAGCTAGCTCCTTTTCGTGTTGTATAGCGAACTCCCTAGTATCGGGCGGTAGCCTGTGAATTTGATCCCGGTTAAGTCCTTCAAACCGTCTGCGCGGCCTAAAGGACTTGTGCAGTTCGTTGGGAGTGCGGCATGTAGACAGGTGCACACTATTGTTGTAAGCACTGGCTACCTTGGGAAGCATCTCATCCCAGTCAACTTGATCTGGTCTAATGTACATTCTCGGAACTTGCTGCAGGATCTTATTCATTTGCTCAGTCTGACCGTTGGTCTCTGGATGACGCCCAGACGACATCAACAACTTAGAGCCATAGACTCTCATCAATTCCTGCCAGTTCTGACTTGTGAACCGGGTGTCTCTATCATTAACTATGGACAATGGGACTCCGTGCTCACTGACCCAGTGATCAAAGAACTTACGGATTACTGACTTTGTGCGTGCCTCTGACGGCAAAGGAACAAAAACAGCATACTTACTAAATCTATCGACTATCACCATGACTTGGCTCTTGCCATGTCTATTCTTGACGCCCGCGTCCATGAAGTCGATGGACACTGAATCTCCGGGCTGATCAGGGATACGTAAGGGTCTGAGAAGACCTAGCGGGGCACGCGTAGTAGTCTTATTCCGCTGGCAGACTTTACAACTGCGAACATACTCTATGCAATCATTCTTCATTCCCGGCCAGGTGTACGCGTGCATTAGATTGGTCAGAGTCTTTTGCCAACCGAAATGACCCTCTGTGTCGTGGCATTCTCCTAAGATCAGACTACGGATTTCTTCGCTATTGGGAATGCACAATCGGTCAAATACGTTAGTCTTCTCAAAGAGGAACCCCTCAGTAGTGCGGTAATCTGGCTCGGTCTCTGGGGCCTCCTTTACTTTCTTAAGAAGGTCACTATAGATAGGGTCCTGCGCGTACGCTTCTCTAACATTTTGTTGCAGGTCTTTCCCTACGTCCAGATAGTGAACTATTGCTCCAAAGTAGTCCGCTCTCCTACTCAGAGCATCCGCAACTAAGTTATACTTCCCTTTTACTGGCTTGAGCTCAAAATCATACTGATCTATCTTTGCGTCCCACCTAGTAAGCTTAGGTGTCATCTTGGCCTAGGTCTTTAACCATCTCAACGTCTTGTGATCTGACTACGGGTCTATAACCATTGCCATCGTTTTGCTGCAAAACAGCACCTATGTCGTACTGGCTGGCGTCCGTAGTGACAACAAAGGGTAGGGACGGATCAGCCACCTTAAGGACTGGGTACTCTATCAATGCCTGCTTCAATTTCTTCATGGCAGACGTGCAGTCCTTATCCCACTTCCAGATGGTTTCTTTCCTCAGTAATCTGCGAAGGGGCGCAGCGATAGTGGAGAAGTTCCTCACGAACTTCCTATAGTAGTTGGCTAAGCCCAAGAACGACCGCAACTCTGTTAGCGTACGCGGTGTGGGCCAATCTCTAATCGCTGCGATCTTGCAATCCTCTGGCTTAACGCTGTCTCCGTCTAAGACGTGGCCTAAATATAAAACTTGGGTCTTCGCCCAATCACACTTCTTCGCGTTGATCTTGAAGTTAGCTTCTCTTAGCTTCTCCAAGACCTGCCTGAGATGACTCTGATGCTCTTGGAGGGTCTTGCTAAACACTAAGATATCATCTAAGTAGACAATAGCAAATCTATCTAACCATGGCCTAAACAAATCGTTCGTGCAGCGTTGGAACGTTGCCGGCGCATTGGTTAGTCCAAAAGGCATCACTATGAACTCATAGTGCCCATATCTAGTCCGGAAGGCTGTCTTATACTGATCATCAGGATGAACCTCTATCTGATGATATCCGGACTTCAAATCTTTAGAGAAATACTTGGCCCCCTGCACTCGATCTAAGAGATCGTCTATCCTAGGCAGTGGCTCAACATTCTTTACCGTAATAGCATTCAGACCCCTATAGTCTATACACATCCTCAACTCTCCCTCTTTCTTGGGAACGAACAGAACAGGTGCCCCGAATGGGGACGAACTGGGCCTTATCCAACCCTTCTCTAGGAGCTCGTCAAGTTGCTTGCGCAGCTCCTCTAATTCCCGCGGAGACATCCTGTACACGGCTCCTTTGGGGGTTCTACTGCCAGGCTCAATCTCAATGCGGTGCTAGATGGGCCGCGGTACTACTCCTAACGGCGACTCGGCTAAGTCTTTAAATTCCTCCAGCAGTTTGGCAATTGCAGGGTCGGTAGGCTTTTCCTCTTTAGGCTCAGTCACTGGCCTAACACCAGTTGCTTCTTTTTCACTAATCTTGCGAACGCAGGAGCACTAAGGCAGCAATGTGCCAGGGGGTTCTCTACGCCTGACACATGAAACAGGCGGGCAGTCTTGGCCTCGCCTGAAGGACTAGGGAGCCTACACTCGTGCGCCTTCAAATGGAGTGTGGCCCCGGCTGCCTCTCCCCAATCCATCCCCAGAACAATGTCGAATGGGAGGCTATCTTCTACGACGAGAGTCAGGGAGTGGAGGACCTTCTCCACTTTCCCATGTTTCTCTAGGCGGAAATACACCTGGACTCTATCTACATAGTCCTCTACAACCATCGTACGGTTGTCTGCGAGGATACTAACTATGGGGTCGGCTAGCTTTTGAACCTTAAGTCCCAGCTTCAACTTCTGCAGCGCTTTCTTACTGATATAGCTGTGGGTGGCCCCTGAGTCTACTAGGGCCCCTACTCTACCTCTAAAAATCTCTACATCTACTAATATGAGTTGTCCCTTCTGTTCCTTTTTCATCTTGGCCCAGGCGGGCATCCTCTCCTTTAATTCCTCAGCCACGTCTGTGAGGGAATTTGTCTAAAGAGACCCTAACGCAAGCAGTCTCTGGACAGCTATTTAGACACCGGCCTGCAACCTCTGCCATAGGCTCATGTGGTGTGGGAGTCTCCTGCCGGCTAGCGCTATTTTCCCCACAAGGCCTAATGGTAGGGGCAGTTGCTACCCCTACCCGGGGCTGCCTTTTGACCCTTGAGCAGCCGATCGGGCCTCTCTATGCTTGGGACAATATTTAATGATGTGGCCCGGGTCACCGCAGTAAATGCACTGGCCCCGGTCCACACGCTGTTGCCATAAGCACTGGTCCAGACCCAAATCTTCCCAAGGCTTACCCTGCGGCAGCCCTGGGTGCCATCCACCTCTCCTATAAGGAGACCTATTTCCAGAACGATTTTGCGGGGGACCTTGACCCCTTCCTCCCGCTTGGCGTTTTCCTCCTCTGCCGCCAACCCCCTGATCGCCCTGAAACCAGCCCCCTGAGGCCCGGCCCCCTTGGCCCTGGCCTCGTCCTCCTCCTTGCGGCCTCCCTCCAGCCGCGACAGCAGCATAAGTTCTCCCCTGACTCGTGCCACTGTCCTCATCCTCTAACCCCCACTCTATCTGATCGTAGGTGATCTCGTCAACACTACCTTCGTCTAAAGTAAGGACAAGACTATCCTTGGTCTTAACTTGCCCTGAGATAGTGCGACCTTTCCACTTCTTTCCCTTATCTAAGTCTTTGTGCCAGAAAGTGAAAACTGACACAGACTTTGCCTCAAAGGCTACCACTTCCCTGTTGAGTGCATCGTACGTCATGGCAGGGTCTTGACTCTTCGCGAAGAAGTGGCCACGTAGCGATTCGGGCATAGCCCTGTAGAAGAGGTTGACCAACTGGGTCTCTGTGACCCCGTGGTCAGGAACAGCTACCCATTCGTCCATAACACCCTTGAGTGCCCTGGCACTCTTCCATTGACGAGAATGGATGGTCTGAAGCCTATCTGAGGCTTTGACACTGCGGGCGACATCAGCAAATCGCTCACGCAACAATTTCATGAAATCTATGAGGGGGGTGAACGAAGAGTAGGCAACTGCATCATCGTTGCAGTTGGCAGAGCGGACTAGGGACCTCGCAAAACTGGCTGCCTCATCTCTAAGCGCATGAATGACTATCAACACGTGCTATCTGGGGAGACCTGCTGCAAGTGCACATAGGTCTCCACGTTGGCCTCCCAATTGTCAAAGTTTTCTTCCCTCTTTCCATTGTAGGAATCGGGGAACTTGACTTTGATTGGCTCCCTACGAGGACGTGCCTCTTCCTCCTTGGGAGCTGTCGCCTTGACGCCTTCAATGGTGCCAACGCAGAATCGTTCGGTCTTCTCAAGGCGATGGTTCACCTCGGCCCCAACTGCGCCTACCAGTTCGCGCGCAAAATCCCGAAATCCCATTCGCATCGAGCGCACGACCATATCCTGACTTCGACTAAACTCATACTGTTCTTCCTGCACTCGGGCCAAACGTTCGACACTCTGGGCAATGATCTCTACTTTTCGTTGGAGGTCCACTTGCGGGGTCAACAGTAGACTCAGTTTCTGCACCTCCTCCAACTCTTTGACCACTGCACTTGCCGCGTCCACCCTCTTCTTCTTCTCCCTCATCATCCTTAACTTCCACTCCATTCTCTTCTCATGTTCCATCGCCTGCCGCTTCAAAGCATCTCTTTCTGCATCCCATTCCTTCATGGCGGCCTCCTGCTCGTCCTTGGGGATATACATGGTTACCTCCTCCTCTTCTCCCAACGACAAGTTGGCAACCCATTATGAAATCCTCTTCTCCATCTCATCATTTTTACTGCCACTGTACTGCCCTCGTTGCTCTCTCCTCCTTTCCAGTGGCTGTTCATCTTCCTCCTCTTCCTCTTCCACCTCTTTTAGTTTCTCTTCTTCTTTTTTCAATCTTTCCTTTTCTCTGGCCATCTCCTCCTCTATCTTCTTCAACTTCGCCACTTCTGCCTCCATCAGGGTCTTTTTCTTGGCCTCTTTCTTCTCCTGCCTCTCCTTCAGTATGGCGGCCATTTTTTACTCCTCTTCCTTTGTATAGGGCTTGGTGGAGGCACCACCCCTGGTATCTACTCTACGGTGAAGGTGTGCCAGAACCCCAGGGGAAAGAGGAGATGCCAGAGGGTCCCCCAGAGGGAGAACCCAACAAGTAAACCATACATCGGGTAATCGTCCATGGTGTCAGGTGCACGACAGGACAGTCCCACTCCTCACCACGTAGACCAACCCGTAGACTCACTGACTGCCTGACTCTCTAAGGACCACAGGGTAAGACCCTATCAGCTATGGTCACTAACCTCGACCTACTCTAAGGCTGTCACTACTGAACCAGAGGCTGATCTGAAGGCATTTAAGGAGATCCCCCCAACTCCGCAAGAATTCTTTAACGTCGCAGACAGGACGACGTGATCAACTTGGTTCTGCCTGTGCTTTCAGCCCACAACTCAGCCTTCCCGGCCTACTGTGCCACACCGAGCAGCCCGTCGGTCTGTACCGGTCCTTGAGAGGGTTCGTATCCCCCAGGACAGTCGAGTCGTCAGACACAGATCCTCAGCCTTACTTGGTCTGGTAGGGGAGTGGTTCAAACAGGCCCTCAAAACTTAAAGACTGCCTGGTGTGTCAGCCCTAACTGCCGTTCAGGCCCACTGAGTCCTACCAACCGTTTCCAGCCGGTCAGCACCTGTCCTTGGGAGGGTTATGCCCCCCTGGAAAGTTGGATCAGCCACAGCCTCAGCCCTACAAGGTCAGCCTAGGGTTTCGTCATCCAAGCACTATCCTTCATCCACAGAGTGCTATCACCTAGGACAGAAGAGACTCGACGCAGAAAGAAGAGACAGACAGACTAAGACTCAGCAAGTACCGTCGGGTGAGTGCACATCCACAGGGTGAGGGGGTAGGCTAAGGGCTTGGCGAGATGTTACCAACTCCAGCTTGGTCAAAGTCTTGGTCAACGGCGCCGATCAACTCCTCTATCAACGCTTGGTCAACGAAGCAAGACCCCGGTCAACGCCCTGGTCAACCCTCCGGTCAACGCCCGGTCAACCCTCCGGTCAACTCTCCACCTCGGCTATGGCTGCCGGCACCTTCTCCTTCGCCACCCTTGTCTTCTCCTTCCTCCTCCTTCACCTTCTTCTTCCTTT